AAAATATAATTGCAACTAACTGAATATAAAGTGCACTAATTTTCCTTCATGCAAATCTAGGAGAAAATAAATTCAAAATTCACACAGTTTAGCTATTCTGTTTCTCCCTCTTGTTTACATCTACATTCTTCTGTTTTGTTTCAGCCGTTTTAGTTTCTTTTTACGAGAACTAAATTCAAGAGATATATATAGTTATCCTAAGTATAATGCAAAAATACGAGAGAATGCAGCTAAAACGAACGGATAATTATAGGCTTAAACGAATATAGTCATACATGTTGATTCAAATCTTACGCTCAGTCACGGTTATCGCGCATCTTTGTAAAATGCGGTCGCTTTGCGAAAAATAGAAGAGACTTACCGAGCGGCGACAATTCGTTCCGCGTGTCTGCCCGTCATCCTCGAAGAATCCTGGGCCGATTGTGCTGCGTGGGATGAGTCACGGCGGCAAGCAGATCACTCCATGCCAGGGACTCGCGCGGCGGCTACGCGCGCGCACCAGCCTTCGAAGCAGAGGACGTTTCTCTCTCGTGCGGGCTTCTTCGTTCGAGCGGGAAACGAAACGAAACGTGCCCGCACGCGGAACGCAAATTCCGAGAGGATCCCGACCGTGACGAGTCGGCGTGACGCGAGTCGCCGTCGGGATCCTAAGGCCGCGCGACCGCGCGCGAAATTCAGGAAATTCAAACGCGGATTCGCTCGCCTCGCACGTGTAAAATATCAAAAGTCAAGCCTTAGCCGTTTGTTTATTCTTAACTCTCAAGATTGAAGGGGCCACCCGTCTCGATCACAAGATTGCGTGATACCAGAGACACGCGCGCGTGCGAAGTTAATACGGCGCGCGACTAAGGAACTAAAGAAACTACGATCGAGTTAGTTGCTTCACGCGTCTAAAAGATCAAGTCAATTAAGCGGAGACTCAGTGTACTTTGATTTATTCAGTTCGTTACGCGCGAAGGTAGGCGTTCGCAATTACGGTCCCTCCATTTGTGTTCGGACGACCATAATTGCACGCATACACGTTCGTTAATCTTTACTGGCTCGGAGTAATTAATAATTAATCATTCGAGTTTGTGGACGTAATTAGGCGGAATTTAATCTACTATGTGGATATAAACCGATCCACTATGTGAGACGACAAAGTAAATAACGAATATCAAATATATTATTCGTAAACGCATTTTCGAAAAAATGTAATATTATCAAATACCAAGCAGATTTCACGCTACGGCGTAACGTGAAAATATTAATCGCTCGAATCCGATAAAGAGAAAGAGCTTCATCGACACTCCGTAACTTGCTTTTCATTAAATTCGATATAGAGGCTTTAATCTTCCCTTGTTGTAATAAACAATCATAGCTCTTTATGAGAAAGATATTATCAACAATATTTGATCAAGAGAACTTTTACAATATACTATTTAAGATTAACAAAATCGGGTGGATAATAAAATATATCAGAAATAATGGTTTCCATGATAAATAATATTCCACTCGTTTACATTTAATGATAAATGTTCTAATGAAAGATGAAACTCACGAGATATTGAAAGCTGTCAAATTTTATCGATTATAATATATATATATATATATATATATATATATATATATATATATAATT